CGAATCCTCAAACATTACATTTTTTTGTTCAAATAGTTTAAAAGATGTGTTCAGCTAAAGATTTACAGCTTATTACAGCATAAGCCAATTTTATTCTAATGCCCTGTTTTGCATAATTTTCCCATTTAGAAACTAGGGTTCCGTTAACTACTTCTGCTGTCAGCTAATCGCGGATCACATGAATTTGCACTTCTTTTACACTACCATTCAAATGTTTGAGGTCAGTAAGATTTTTGAAAGAAATCTCTTATGCTCACCAAGTCTGCATTTTTTTTTAATCAAAAATGCTGTAAAAACAGTAATTTTTAGATGTTATTACAATTTAAAATAACTTGTCTATTTTAATATTTTAAATTTTATTTATTCCTGAGATGGCAAAGCTTAATTTTCAGCAGCTGTTGGTCCTGTTGTCAGTGTCACACGAATTATTCTAATGTGCTGATTTGCTGTTCTAGAAACGTATTATTAATGTTGAAAAAAGTTGTGATGTTTTTTGTTTTTTTTTGCGGAAACTCTGATATATATTTTTCAGGATTCTTTAATGAATAGAATGTTTAAAAGAACAGCATTTATTTAAAATAGAAATCTGTTGTAACATTATAAATGTCTTTACCATCACTTTTGATCAATTTAATGCATCCTTGCTAAATAATAGTAGTAATTTCGTTGATTTTTTTTCGTTAAAAAATCAAACTGACCATAAACATTTGAATGTTAATTGGAGTGTTTTTTTATAGTAAACTAACAACACATTTGAAATGGATAGTTCTCCCAAAAATTGACATAATTTACCATCATTAACCATAATTTATTTACCCTCGTTAACCATTATTTATTTACCCTCAAGAGAGAATAGGTCTAAGAAAACTGAGGTCCAAACAACATTGCACCCATTGAGGGTCAGTAAATGATGACAGAATTGTAATTTTTGGGTGAACCATCGTGAACCACACTACACTAGGGCTGAATGATTAATTGCATTTGCGATAATATCGCGATATGAAAAAACACGATTTTTCAATCGCAGAGACTGCGATTACACTCGGTCACGTGACACGCCAGAGTAAAGAGGTGTGTTCCACTTGAAGATCGATCGGTGTAGCCTTTGACATCAAAGTACAGCGAGAGAAAGCATAAGGAGACGTCCGCGCTCTCTTATAGCTCTCGCAGTACTTTGATGACACACCCATCGGTCTAAGCAGCGCTGCTTCAAGTCGAGCGCGGGCCATCAGCAGAAAAAGAAAAGAAATAAAACAGTAAACAGCCAAAGGACGTAATTAGAATGGGAGATGGATCGGTTTGTGAAAGCGAAGAGAAAAGCCATAGATGAAGTCGCACAGACCCAGGCAGGTGCTGGTCATTCAAATGCTAAATGCAGAAAATATGACAAGGCATATCTTGATCTCGGCTTCACTCACCGTGTCTATACCGGACGCTACAGTTGTCGCGTCACGCCGCAACAGCTCTACACTGGATGCCACAAAGCGACCGTTGCAAATCATATTAACTTCCTACAGAAAAGGACATTTATGTTTAATCTATCTAATAGTGTGTTGGTCATACTATACAATGATTTATAGCTCATAAAGAGCTTTAAAAAATAATTGCATATTAAATCGCAATCGCAATATTGGTAAAAAAAATCGCAATTAGATTATTTTCCAAAATCGTTCAGCCCTACACTACACTATAAAAAAAATAGCCAGTGTGCTGCTGATTTTATTCAGTGGACAGTTGAAGTTTTAAATTTTTCATCTTGGAGACTAATCCTTAGTCTGTGAATTATTAAACAAGGCTGGCATGAGAACAAAGAAATATTGTTCTAATGAATTTTGAGATGCTGATAAGGGTTTTCCAAAACGTGTAATAAATGTAAAATCATCAGTCATGTAATTGAGAAAGCCTGAATTACTTTCTTTCAACTGTGGGTGAAGTCACCTGAATATACACCCGCAACAAATTATTGCTGTTCATTTGTGCACTAATGAATGTGCAGTAATGTACGCTTGATCTCTTGACTTGGACGTCTATTTAAGATGTGACAGGAAATGAGATCAAATATGGTCAATTAACGGTGTATCATTATATCTCTTTCTTTTGTGCTTCATCTGGCTGCTTTTAAACACAAGAACACATCCTGTGTGAACGCTAGGGCTGTGCGATTAATCGAAATCGAATCGAAATCGTGATTTAATAACAAATGTAATGGATTTCAGGGTTATAATGGGAATTGTATTGGTTTTAATGTAACCTATAATGTGGTGTCTATTTGATGGATTCTATTGGTGGATGTAATCTGGCAGATGGCAACCAATAGAACAACAGTAATTCCTATTGGAATAATGCCCAAAACAAAAAGGAATTTTGTAATGGTTTAATGGAAACTATAAGAATTTCTGTGATGGTTTCTATTGTTTTTTTCAGCAGGGTAATGATACCCATACTGTGCTGCACATTATTGACAACATTGAGCTGAAGCTTGACTTTGCAAATTTAAAAATCGCAAATCAAATCGCAATCGCAATCTGTCAAAAAAATCGCAATTTGATATTTTCGCCCAAATCGCACAGTCCTAGTGAACGCCTCCTTATGATCACACATGGTCATGGATGGTGACCAAAGATCTGGAGCATTGTTGATCATTGGAAGGATCTGGTCCATGACTGATGTTTCCCGTATAAAGAAGGCTTTTATATACACATCAGTGTAACTCAGGGGTTTGGTACAGAATCACTTTGTTATACGCTGTGGAATGAGAAGTTGATTCAGGCTGTAGGAAATGGGATTAGGAGTGCAATCTGCTGTAGTCAAGTTACACAGCTACACACTTCCACATTCCCGTTCTCTGCTAATGTACTCTGCTGGATAAAATTGCATTCTTGGAATTCCTGTGGATGAAGATTTGCTATAGAGACCAGCGAAATGTCACAATTCTCAATACCACAGCAGAATACCAGAATAACTAATGTTAGTAAAAAAAAAAAAATTTCCTCAAAATTATTCAAAATAATTAAACCGTAATAAAAAAGCAAAGGAATGCAATGCCAGTAATAAAAAAGCAAAAGAATACAATAGAATAAAATATATACAAATGAAACAAACTGTGCTTTACGTTTTTTTAATGCAAGTCTAAAGTATTCAGTTAACATAACCGACGAGGGTTTACGTGAATAATCACTAAGCGCCGCATTTTGACACATTTTTGTGTGTATTTGACCGTTTAGGCGCTAAAAGATGACTTTACATGTCCGTGTTGTGTTCCGTCTCTGAGCGCATCCACAGTAATCTTCCCGAGGAAGAGCCAGTTCTTTCACGCTTTTAAAAACATAAATCAATCTAATCAACTTAAATCAAGCACATCCTGTTTTGCAAAAGTCTCTTTACATGATTTTACTGATTATGGAGGACCGAAAGAGCACCGCTGGAAAGGGGGCGGAATGGGGCGCAATAATCGGTTTATCTCGATTACTGTATTTTCATAATCGTTGGAGGCCGAAATCGAAACTGAATTTCGATTAATTGCACAGCCCTAATATTCGGTATAAATCCTAAAAAGGATATTTCAGCCAAAAAATAAATTGTCATTGTTTTACTCCCCCTCATGTCATTCAAAACCTGTCTGACTTTAATTCTTTTGTGAAACACAAAAAGAGAAATGTTGAAGACTTGCTCCTTGAGGCTGGAGCTTTTAAGCTTCACAAAGGACACAAAACTATCATAATAGTTGTCCAAATAACTTATACACAGCATTCTTAAGTTTATACTTGCTTTCAAAAGTTTCGGGCTCAGTAAGATTTTGTAAAAGAAATATTATAAAATTAATGCAGTAAAGACTTTTGGAATGTTACAAAAATTCCATTTGAAAAACTTTGTATTCTTGAAAGAATTCTAGAAAAAAAATATCACAATTTCCACAAAAATATTAAGCAGCACAGATGTTTTCAACATCAATAATAATAATAAAAAAAAGTTTTTCTTGAACACCAACTTAGCATATTAGAATGATTTCTGAAGGGTCCTGGAACACTGAAAACTGGACTAATGGCTGCAAAAAAATTTACATTTTAATATCTATTAAAATAGAACAGTTATTTTAAATTGTAATATTTTACAATATTACTATTTTTTACTGTATTTTTTACATTCATTCTTCATTACCCTAAACTTTTGAACAGTAGTATATCATTTTTTACTAATAATCTTCTCTTCTAGTGGGCTGTGAATGTTATAATCAGACCATTGAGTTGAGAACCGGATCAGTACAAATCAACAGTTTTGCCAACTGGATCAATGAATTAATCGAAATGACTCAATTTATTCACAAATTGGCCTTTTTTTTTTTTGCCTCAAATCTCAGTTCACTTTTATTAAATTAAAAAGAGTGTCCAGGATATTCCCCATCAGTGTTGCACAAAAAATTCAGGTTGATATAACGGTGAGTAAATAATCATGGAATTTAATTTTTTTTAGTTTAATTTCTTTTAGGTTAAACACTATCAGCTATATTTGTACGTCTTATGTTATATCTATTTCTCAAACCTCAAAGAACACATTAAATTTGAAGGTCGTCAATATGTTCTTATTAATGTCAGGGAAATTTCACATCTCATTTAAAATGTTCACTAACGTGATGACCTGTTTTTTGATGACCAGTTCCTCTTGCTTTTGTGTTCTCCATAACCACAAAGTCAAATGTCCTCCCAGCCGATACCATTTCTCCCTCTGCTGGCAGAACTTCCCTTTAATCCCTTGCTCTTTTTTTCTTTGCTTTTCATTATCAAACGCAAGCCCGCACACACACACTCACTTTGCACTTTGACCTCTGCTTTAAGGAATGATAGGAATCCGTCTGCGTCTATGCTGATCTGCTTTGCAAGCTCGTTTATAAAGTGGAGGGGAGAGAAAGTGCTATGGAGGGAGGGTCCCGTGTGAGAGAGGGAGAGGGGGTGGAGAGAGTTGCAGGAGGAGGAGTGGAGGAAAAAAGAAGGGCTGTTGGCATGAGATCCACTCAAAGAAGAGGGAGAGAGGAGTTTGGGAACATTGGCTTGGAAGGTGGAAGGAAGCATGAGATCGACAGTAGGTGACAGGAAAGGGGTTCTTTGAAGCCGAAAGGAAAAGCGGAAGGTTTGGGGGAAACTGGATTGCCGCTGCTGTCCACTGGGGTGCACCTGGGCACGAGCTGCAAAGGGAGGCCCTTTGGGGTCTGGAGCATGGGACAGACGTTCCCTCTAGAGACTGCACCTCAAAACTCCTGCGCACACTTAGGTGAGTCAAGAAAAAGGCCTATGGACGTAGCATTTTAAGGCATCGTATGCACACTTCAGGCATGAAGGTAGTTCCAAAAAATAGGCAAATTAATCAAGCTGCTGCATTACATATAGGCTGTCCTTTTTGGACAATGCAATCCCAAAATGCACTGTGAAAAGCTCAGTAAAAAAAAAAAACAGAGCACATTGCATAATGACCTTCCAGTATAATGTGTTCTTTGAGGTTTGCGAAGTAGATATAAGATACAAGAGGTAAAATCATGACAGAAAGGAAGCCTTAATTTGTGAACACAATTTTTTTTTTTTTGGAGGAATTTTAATGAATTCACTGATCCAGTTCACAAAACTGTTGATTTTGTACTGATTCAGAGTCAAAGTCACTAACCGAGTAGTCTGATCACAATGGTTAGGGAAGATTATTAGTAAAAAATGATATACAGTCTCAGTATGACTTGATGTTTTTCTAAGAAGTCTTTTATGCTCATTAACTCAACAACATGCTAATGGCAATCTCTATGCAAAGTTTTGAGGTTCCAAGGCAGTCAAGAAACTCTCTTAGAAAGCAGATGCCAATGTAGGCAGCAAGCAGTGAGGCGGCTTGCTAGGTTTTAGAAGCGTTAATCTCAGCAAGCATTACCTCAGCTTGACTTCAACACAGCAGGAACTGGTTATGACTCAGCAGTGGGTCTCAACTGTGAGTGCAAGGAAACCAGACATGGAGACGAGCGGGAGAGCGGTGGGGGTCTTTGAGTATCTGTGCAGAAATTCTTAAGCATTCTGTCTTTTTTGGTCCTCATTACTGAACTCACATGATTTCACATTGCGTGTGAAGTTACAGGAACTGTACCTTTTTGTCAGCTGTGATTATTAACTGAGCTGACTGGTGGTTATTCTTTGTTCTTCCCTTTGTAGCAGATCATTATTGTTCATTTTTAATATAATTTTTGCTTTTGGAATGGTTACTGTACTTTAATTCAGGAGGCAAAATCAGCACTTTGAAACCCAAACAGTTTGTCCATGTTTTTGGTCACTAGCTTCTTTTTTTCGATTAAAGTGCTGTTGAGCTAGTCTCAAAATGCCATGTATCTTGCTTTACATCGGGTCTTTAGCTGTCAACATTCCTCTGTTTGTGGAGAAAAGGCTGAAGTCTGAATCCCTATGATCTTTGTACTGTTTCCCCCAGTGCAGGGTGTGAAACGCCACCAATAGTGATGACAAACAAGGAGACAAAGCGCAGCTGACATTCAGTTACTGCACAGAGGAAGCTATCAAACAGCACGGCAAGGTTTCATGTCACAATACAGGCTTCTTTGTTCTCTCAGTAGACTCTGCTCACTGTTGCCTCTGCCTCTGTATTTGTTTGCAGTGGTTTCTCCTTGCGGTAAAATGTCAATTCGCTGGAAGCATCTGAAACTTTTTTTTATCCCTTACAACATGTCCAATTGGAGCCTCAGAAAAAACTGTTCTAAATTGAGATGTCACAATTTTGTCCAACAACCATATAGCATAATTTTAATTAATGTTTAAATTACAATTTTAGATTGTTATTTTTATTATTATGTACTATTTTAAATGTATTTAAGTAATTAATAATAATGATAATTTTTTTATATATATATAGGGGCGTTTCCTATTTTCCTCACTTTCCTTCGCTTTTAAATAGCTTGCAAAAATTCGAATTGGCTGCAATTTGGCATCAATTGCTTGAATGCAACAACAAAATACAACGTCAAACTCACTTTAGCCTATATATAAAACAGAACTTTTACTAAGAGCCCTGACTTAAACCCAATTGAGCATCTCTGGAGAGACCTAAAAATGGCTGTCCACCAACGTTTACCATCCAACCTGGCAGAACTGGAGAGGATCTGCAAGGAGGAATGGCGGAGGATCCCCAAATCCAGGTGTGAATAACTTGTTGCATCTTTCCCAAAAAGACTCATGGCTGTATTAGATCAAAAGGGTGCTTCTACTAAATACTGCGCAAAGGGTCTGAATACTTAGGACCGTGTGATATTTCAGTTTTTCTTTTTTTAATAAATCTGCAAAAATGTCAACAATTCTGTGTTTTTCTGTCAATATGGGGTGCTGTGTGTACATTAATGAGGAAAAAAAATGAACTTAAATGATTTTAGCAAATGGCTGCAATATAACAAAGAGTGAAAAATGTAAGGGGGTCTGAATACTTTCCGTACCCACTGTGTATATATATATATATATATATGTGTGTGTGTGTGTGTTTTGAATTTAGCAATTAGCAATGTAGAAATTTTTTACATTTATATATTATACAATATTTATTTATTAGCTGTTAGACAGTTTACACAGTAAAACCATTTTGAAAATGCATATTAAATGTTTAATTATAATTAAATTTGTTTTAATTGTTAACAGTATAAAATTTAAATTTATGTATATTTTAAATGTATATGTTATTAAATGTGTTCATGTATAATTTATTTGTTTGTTTATTTATTAGCTGTCGGACAGTAAAAAGGACAGATTAGCTGTCTGCACAGTAAAACCTTCTTGAAAATGTCAGGTATTTTCTATTTCTGCCCTATAACGCACCACCAATACACTACACCTCAGCGATACATATTTAGTTTTCTTTGGCCATTGTATTATGTCTCATGCTGATTTTGAGCGTCTCGTCCCAAGTGTTACGTTTTTAATATGCCGTTTCAAGTTAAAAATAGTAATAGGTTTTACAACTCCTGCAATCTGCTCCTTTGTTGAGCTGCCTTTGTGTTTTTGAATTTGTTTGCTCTGTTTGTGATTGCAAGAATACATCTCATGTAAAAGCCCCTTAAGAATCAAATCTGATATTCTTACAGTCGATAAGTCAACTAGTGATTCGGGCAGCCCAACGACTAGTCGATTTGGTGGATGTTTTTCCTAATATGCTTTTTTGATCATTTGAAGCGGAGATTTAAGAACTATACGTTTAATAAGTCTGAGAAACAAGGCTGTCTGGAATGAGAGACTGTAGTTATTTGTGCATATACAGCAATGCATAAGGGGAGTGGTGTGTAGCGGCAGGGCAGTGATTGACTCTTCATGGTTTCTCCCTGCGGAGACAGACTGTTACATAATGAAACATGCTGCTCCAGGCTGAATGCCGGCCTTATTTCCGACAACACAACTGCCTACACACGCCTCCTCGCATCTGCTTAGCATATACACCTCAAGCCTCTGGCTCTGGAGTTGCATGTATAAATGCACACGTTCACTCATGTTAGGGCATGTTTTCAAAGTCGACTAGTTGGTGGGTTACCTGAATGACAAGTCAACTAATCGGTCATAAGAATCGGTTTTACATAAGATGTGTTAGAAAAATGCTTTGTGGTACCTAAACTTTATGTAAGTTATTTGTTATTTTATATTAGACATAGCTTGCCCTATAGCATGGTGTATTTTTACAGTCTGTTAGTATCCGTCTGTCTGATAAAATAAAGTTAAAGTAAAAGCACATCTGTTTATCATGGACTCGACATACGTTTATTGATGTGCAGTTGTGTTTGTTTTATCTGCCGTTGTCTGTTTTCCCGTTTCACGCTGTGGTGAATGGGAGGGTGTCGTTTTTGGTTCTCTTCACCTCTTACTCTCTTCCCCCCTCTCTCCCCGTTTCAGGATCAGGGTGGAGTGCCGTTTCCTCCCTCTGTTTCCCAGGCCTCGCCCCCCTCTGTTTTCCAAGGCAATCTGAATCTCTCCCTGCCATTAATGCACAGCCTTTCGTTCTTTAAACACCTCACACCTGGCACTCTAAGTGACATCTTTAGCTCCACGGCGTATCATTTGGAGCCCCGTCTTCCGGATTGGTTTCCTACTAGTTCACTTATCTCACCTCTATTAGTGATGTCTGATCCATTAAGGACTAATATCTTGACTCAGGCTGCTCACGCTCCAGTTTAATGCAGCTGGATTGTATCTGCGTAACACATTGGTTTCTCACCAAACTCGATGGATGTGCGTCATTCGCTGATTGTCTTTCCAAAGGCTGGGACTGCTCGCCGGCTGTACTTTTAGGGCCTGATTATGGATGTGTGGTCGACTACTGATGTTTCTTAGCTGTCTATGGGTGCAGCTCTTCCCTTTGTGAGACATTCTGGCTTTTACACTTCTTATGTACTCAAGGAACTGGGAGTCCTCACACTTTTGGGAGTTGTGACACTGCCTGTTCCTCAGACTCGATCTTCCATCTGAACTGTTGGATATATGGTCGGTTTTAAGCCGTATTGTGTTTTAGGACTATCGCTTTTCCATTCGTGCTCCTGCTTCAGCAATTTCCCTCACGTTCTTCTTGATTTGGAAACGTCAAACAGGAAAGGAAGTGGACGCTTGTATGGCTTGCTGCTTTCAAACAAGTTGCTATGGCAGCTGGAGTCCAGGTAGACTGATGCATTCACAGATTTCACACACTAAAATGTAGTACACACCATATTAGTGTTTAAATTATTAAGGAGCAATTTGGACCTGTTGAGCTTCATGAGTCTTTATGTTGCCTGTTTTGCCTTCTATGCTCTAATGGGTTTTCCACCCAGTTGATTTGTGGGTTGCAGGTGTTGGTTGCTTATATTTACTTATCTTACACGCAGCATAGTAGGTCACAAGGGGCATTCTGTGTTTGCTGGGCTTTATGTTAAAATGACTTCCATTTTAATGTAAGTGAGAAGTATTAAGTAGTATAAAGGTAGTGATCTAGCAAATATTTGAATGTCAGCTGCACTGTGCCAAAGATTATAGTAAAGCCCTTTACAAATGAAGGTTACTAAATTTGACATTCTGCAGATTAGGAATGGATCAGGATGGTTATAGGCATCTAACAACCACCTAATGAATTAAAGTGACTGGTTTCTAGATCAAATTTTTGGGTTTATTTGTTTTTCTTTTAGGTTTTTTCCATCTGTGGTTATTTAACATGCCATGTTTTATAGAAAAAAATATTATTGAAAGAAAAACGGCCAACAGTGTTCACATTGCAAAACTTGAAAATATCAGGAAATTGTGTCTGAAAAAGTCATGGAAAATATGAATGTTTTCATTAATATCACACTTGTGAATGAACATTTCTGTAGTAAATAATATGCAATTGTAATATACTCTAAAAAATAATATTCTCTAAAAAGCTTTTACTGTCACTTTTGATCAATCTAATGCATCCTTATCCTGAATAAACATATTAATTTATTAAAGGATTAGTTCACTTCCAAACTAATTTTTTTCCTGATAATTTACTCACCCCCATGCCATCCAAGATGTTCATGTCATTCTTTCTTCAGTTGAAAAGAAATTAAGGTTTTTGAGGAAAACATTCCAGGATTTTTCTCCATTTAGTGGACTTCAATGAAACCCAGTGGGTTGAAGGTCCAAATTGCAGTTTCAGTGCAGCTTCAAAAGGCGTCTACACTATCCCAGCTGAGGAATAAGGGTCTTATCTAGCAAAATGATCAGTCACTTTCTAAAAAAAAAAAAAAACTATAAAAATGTATACATGTATATACATATTTACGTATTCACATTGGAAAGGTCACGCATGAAGTAATCGGAAGTACCAACCCAGTGTTTACAAAGCGAATGTGCAAAGAAAGTCAAACGCCTTTTAGAAAAAAAGGTAAAACAACAATGTTGGTCGATTTTCAAGTTGAATGAAAAAATTATATTGAGTTTTTCGCCTTACCCTACCTTTTTGAACCGGTGTACACAGACGAAGAACTAACCACACGTGACCTTTCCAACGTGATTACATAATGCGTGAAGTCACACATCGCAGAGCTGGTGCAAGATGAGCATTTGTGATTAAAGGTGGGGTAAGCGATTTTTCAAAAACGCTTTAGAAAACTGATTCGGGCCGAGTAGCAACACAAACTTGTAGCCAATCAGCAGTAAGGGGCGTGTCTACTCATGATGTGGAAGAGAGAGTGTTCAGTGCACAGGACGGACATTAGCCGAGCCGAGCGACATAAAGATAGAGATGGCGGATAAAAAACAAAAGAGGAAAACGTCTGCGGAACAAAAGAAGGCTTAAGGCAAGAAGTAGGACCCGTATAAATATGGGATCAGCTTTCCAGCGCTGGAGAGAACTCAAGGAGCGGAAGGCCTGCGATCGGACGCCGAGCTTGCTTTGTTTCTTCTCGATAGGTGAGTAACACCGTGTCTACACGTGCCGCAACAGCTAAAGTCTGTCTACACTGGACGCGACAAAGCGACCGTTGAAAATCATTTGAAATTTGTGTCAATACGTCATAAATAGAACGAAGCGGCAGTTTTCTGTCGGCGATTTGTCGTGTCGTGCCGCGCTGCATCCAGTGTAGACTAGGGCTGGGTATCGAGTTCGATACTTTTTAGGCACCGACCGAATTGCCTCGATACCATCGAGTATCGAAAAACGTCTCATCTTTCGGTACCAAATTTCGATACCTAAGGGGTTAATCTCATCAGCGTCAGTGAGCCAATAAAGGCCCGGGTATACTTCACTTTCCGCGTTCCGTTCCGTCTCGCGCGCAAGCACGTCCGCACAGCTTTCAAAGTATACTCAACCGCGGATGAGTGTGGACGGACGAGCTCGACACAGGCGCAGTTTGACTTGCGCTCTGTCTCAACTTTCACCTCGTGCATGCGCTGTTGTACGCGGACCGTGCGCTGTCCGCGAGCCCTCCTGATGACGAAAATGACTCTGAGTCAGAGCAGTGATCATGGAAGAGAGAACACAGTCAGACAGCACTGGAAGCTGCTAATGCTCATCAGTAAATCAGTGGAAAATAAATAGAAATCATGATTCTGTCTGAGCTATGCGTTTTAAAACGAACACGCACTAGTGTAAATGTAGCCTAACAGATGTGTAAACTGAAGACTATTTGAGCTTTATTAAAACTATTTGCACTGATTTATTGTGTTGGTTACATTTTGTTCCTTTGTGCAGTGGCTCAGGAGATGAGTCTTTGAGATTGTATAAACATCAACAAGCTGAAAAATAAAACCAAAGTTTTTTTTTTTTAGATAATGTAATCTTGTTAAAATTGATTTCATAAAATTGGTATCGAAAAAAGTATTGTTCAGGAACCGGTATCGAAGTCAAGGTATCGGTATCGATATCGAAATTTTTTGAACGATACCCAGCCCTAGTGTAGACCATAGTCTACATGTCAACATTGGCTACCAGAAATCGCTTACCCCACCTTTAAAGTATAGAAAAAATATTTTTTGTAGAAAATTAGATAAGACCCTCAGCTGGGATCATGTAGAGCCCTTTGAAGCTGCACTGAAACTGCAATTTGGACCTTGAACCCATTGGTTCCCATTGAAGTCCACTAGCTTGGATCATGTAGAGCCCTTTGAAGCTGCACTGAAACTGCAATTTGGACCTTGAACCCATTGGTTCCCATTGAAGTCCACTATATGGAGAAAAATCCTGGAATGTTTTCCTCAAAAACCTTAATTTCTTTTCGACTGAAGCAAGAAAGACATGAACATCTTGGATGACATGTGGGTGAGTAAATTGTCAGAATTTCTATTCCGGAAGTAAACAAATCCTTTAAAATTTTACTTAAAATTCACTTCAAAGTATTTCAATACAGACAGTGTTTTATAATTGTCACAGCTAAACAGGCACTTTTTATAGGTTGATATTCTCCAAATGGCAAAATATTGGACTTTGGTACTGTAGCTCACTGTGCTTATGGGATGCACTGCACCGCTTCTTCATCAGTATATAAATGAGAGTGCAGTGAGGCCCAGCCAGCCCCATCAGCCGGAATGTTCAAAGCCACGTTCAGCACCCACTTGATGGGCCAAAGATTGTGAGTCTTTTGGCAGTGCTGGAGCTGATAGGAATGTGAGTGTGTAACGTGGCGAAGCAGTGGCCTCTGGCCAGCTCACCATGCTGAGATGTGATTGAGGTCCGCAATGGGGATCCGCTCGTCTTGTCACGAGAGCCGCCAGAAAACACTCTGTGTTGGGGTCTAAAACAATAGTGACTCTAAGGAGGCTCAGCAGTTTAGTTTGTTTTGATATTGAGGTTGGAGAAGGGTTGTGGTATCAAGTATTTTGTGCATGAGAGCGTCTTTGGATTCAAGCCAGTGCACAGGACACAGCTGCACATATGGGACAGTATGTTTGTCTTGTTTGTGTGATGGCACAATATTATAATTCATCCTGATGTGTCAAGCTATATATAATATGCTTTCGTAAACTCTGCGCAACACAAAGTTTGAGTTACGTAAACCATCTGGCCCAAGGCTTCTTGGAGCCATTGATGTGCCCTGTGTTTGATGGGTCAGTCAGGGGACTGATTCTCTGTCTCTTCTCCAGATGATGAAGGTGACCACCAGCACAGCAGCACGGGGAGCGAAGGGGGCACGGCAGGGGACGCCACCCCTCCTCCCAAGCGCAAGGGCAAGTTCTCTACCCTGGGTAAGATCTTCAAACCCTGGAAGTGGAGGAAGAAGAAAAGCAGCGAGAAGTTTAAGGAAACTTCAGAAGGTCCTTTGTTCTTTTCTTTTCATGTTTGTGTTGGAAAAGAGCTTTCATTTCCTTGACTTTTTTCCTTAAATCACAACCTAATGTTTGTTAATGTTTTCTTTCCTTTGTTGATATGTATGCTTTCTCAGATGTTTTGAACAATGAGATGATTTCAAAATCCCTTTGCCCAGTAGTCACAATTAGTTTTACTTGAAGACTCAATATCTAAAATCAAATGCTGACCCAACACAGTACAAAAATATTTAACAAAAGTAAACACAATTGTCCTTATATCGGTTTATTATTGATGTCCAAATGTGTTTTAAATGTCTAGTTATTCAAAGGATATTATTCAATTTCAGAATTAGCCTGAATTAGGGCTTTCAAAACCATTAAGGTGTAGACAACCATGTGCCATTGTGAGTTTATCTTTTATATGTAGTGTTTTTGTTCTCCCCACAGTTTTGGAAAGAAAGATGTCGATGAGGAGGCCAAGACAGGAACTGATCGAGCAGGGAGTGCTCAAGGAGCTTCCTGACAATGGTAGGAGAGAGAAGAGAGTGTGTGTGCGTCTGTACTTTCTTAACCATATTTTGTACCAAGAAGTTTGTACCCTGAAGCGAAACCTGGCAAAAGCTCTGTTTGGGGATGTCTTTGTTTTCTAAAAACAAAGTAAATAGTTTTTTTTTTCTACAAAATGCAGAAAGTTTTCTATTAGTGTTGGGTTACAGCATTTTAACTACCTTTTAAATAAACTCTGTGTGTGCGTTTGTGTGTACATGCCAAGAAATATGGTTGTTTATTCAACTATGGGCACTTTTATTTGATTTTTATTAAAAAAACATTTTAATTAATTTTATAAAGTGATTACAGAGGTTTGTTTGTTTTTTCTCCACACTCAGAGTCTTTAAAAGCTTATCGTAATGCATCACAAAATATTCATTATTGCAACTATTTAAAACTATTATGATCTAAACAAAAAGTTAAATAACCACAAACTAAATCAATATTTATTGAATTATACACATGCCTGTCCAGTGTTTCCCCTAGGTTTACGGCTTTTTTTTTTTTTTCTGGACTCCTTTTTAATGGTTAAATTACATTTTATTAATCAAAAAGCATGTCTAATTAATTAAAATCATGAAACTTAAACAATTTAACATCAATTTATTAAAAGTTTAACAAATATTACATGTTTAGGGCCCTATGAAATGTTTTATTTTTCCAACTTTGTTTTATTGTCACCAAATTCTGTTTTAGCATGTCTAATTATTTGAAAGCATAAAACAAGTTTAATTTATTCTTACAATAGCCTTATGATTTTTTGCTCAGAAATTCTGTTGTGTATTTACATTTTATTTTAAGGCATAAAACATTCATTTAATCTTATCTTTTAAGTAATGAAAATTAAACAAATTTTATTTTTTGGAAAATATTTACTGCCTTGTTATAAAAAGTGTGGCTGTCACCGTCATGGAGAGAGATGTGTAGGGGAGGCACTTGGCGATATGGCCTTGAATGTGTATGTTCTTATTCTGTGTTTAGAATAAAAGGAGAAAGATGACGTCACTGTCTCCTGCTGGATTCTTCTGTGTGTGCGCTCCTGTTCACAGAAACACTCAGGGTTTTGCGGTGTATGAGACGCGAATGTTCGCACTCCAATAACCAAAATTAAAAGTCTCGACGTGTAGACGCTAGCAACCTATTAGCAATTAGCTTAGCAACAGTTTAGTAGCTTAGCTAAGCTCCAGTTAGCCCCACGTTCTATAGAACAACTGCGCGTTGTTACAGTATGACAGAATGCCAGCAAAGAGCGCTGCATATAAAGTATCTAAAAGACATATAAGTTCATAGTTATTATATCTCACAAATCTCTGTTATAACACAATAAATATAAGCATAATTAATCGTTCATAATGTCTACAATTCGTGTTATAATGAGAGGATTCGTGAGCACGCAAATTTCAGCACTGCATTGCTCAAGGCTGCAAACACGTGTTATAGCCTAAATAGAAACTCTGCATACGCTTGCACCTGTTATAACAGATAGAGATTCCAGCACGGAGGATGAAAACCACACTCAACAAGTAAGTAAAGTCGTTTTTTTATCTGATGGCATTTTCTTATGATTATAGCTGGTCGCAATGGTAACTTTAGAACCCACTGACTACAAATCGTATTTAAAATTATGCAATAGTTTAGCATCGAAATCGTTGTTTTACTGATTGTTTATCGCCCATTCATCCTGTGATTACTAAAGTGTTCCTACAAACGCCAGCTATAATATAAGAAAGCTGGCGTGGACTAACAACTTTGTCACACTGCACACTTAATTAACTAAAACAACCTTTAATCATAAGAAAATGCCATCAGATAAAAAAACGACTTTACTGACTCGTTGAGTGTGGTTTTCATCCTCCGTGCTGAAATCTCTCCGCTTGTGTGTTTCGAAATCTCCCTTCGGTGGTGATAGCTGTTTTTAATGCCTGATCAAAAGTTACCGCGAACCTGATACTACTACTAACAACAACAACTAATCTCCCTTAGGTGGTGATAGCTGTTTTTAATGCCTGATCAAAAGTTACTGCGAACCTGATACTACCACTAACAACAACAACAGAACACATTACATAATTGTTGTTATTAAATATTAAATGAAATATCTGGACATTTAACACTTATTTGATAACATTACAGATTGATCTGAATAAACAGGGTATGTGCAACTTTGGTGTATAAGACAACCCCCCTAATATAATGGCAGGGGAAACACTGCTGTCCATCAGTTGTTTCCCATAATATTTTAATATTAATAATATAATATTTGCAGTTAAGCTGTAATTAATCAAATCATGCAATTACATATATTTTTTATTATCTACTTGTCGATTTTGGGTACATAAAGTGCTGACTACTGTAAGAAATCAGCAAGGAGTTTTCCATTAATTTCCAAAAATGTTATTTACACCACAGAATGCATAATTTGAAAAAGATGTAAAAGAAATTTGTTGGTTAAGGAAAAATGATTAAAATGACACTCTTCTCCTGTGAGAAATGTATATGAATAACTGTTGCACACTATTGTTACATATTAAGTAAATTAGTGATAGTATAAACACTTTTTAAGAAAGTCTTTTTCTAAAAGTCCATATAGGACAAAAAGAATCCATGGTTGATGTAACACCCAAATATGTGTGTGTGTGTCAGGCAGGGGGTTTGCTGCTTTAACTTTTGAGTGGCCTCACTGTATTTCTTACATTCCTGTCATTGTGGTCTTTGAGGATGCTGGACATACCAACAGAAAAACTCGGGGCCTCAGAAGGAAAATAAACATTGGGAATGATTTCCCCCTCGTTTACAGAAATGTGGCATACATTACTGCTGAATCACAGTTCTGTGCCTCAGAGCTATTTTGATACAAGTGCCATACATTAATTTCAGCGCATCGTCTCTTCCCAGCAGAGAAAGACAGACAGCTCAGAGAGGTTGTTTATCATCTCAGGCCCTGTTAATGTGGTAGCCCTAATTCAGGGGAGCTGAGACAAATTCGGCAGTTTTCGAGGCAGATGAAGGGTGGAAATTTGATACCTTTTTTGACTCTTCATATTTTGGGAAGGAAATGACATGCAGTTTTTCTTAAGACAAGAAAGTGGAGCAAATTGTGCCCTGCAGCAAAAAGCTTTGAAAGTCATGTGCTGTGAACCGGCTGCTTTAGAGGCCTATTTATTTGAGAGCTGCTCGTGTAACCTCTGAGAGATGTGTGAGGAGACGCAACCTGTACTTCAGAGCTAATCAGAGCTACAGGCTCGTGTCGAACTTCAGAAGCAAACCACGTTAGTCTCTAACCCGATTTGAAAGGATTTTGCAAACCTGATCTGTTAGAAATAAAAATGCAAATCCTTTTGAATTTTTGCAGGGCTGTTGCTTCCAGTGAAACATAAATATTTGTTCAGTGAATACTGTACTTAAAAGGTGAAGCGTGTCGTTTCTGTCGGTGCACGTCCTGTGTTTGTGTATATTCAAAATACGTTTCAAATGCCTTTTATGCCTGTGGAAAACTGTTACTACATAATAAATATAGTAATGACACACATTTTCATTAAAGTAATGTTTAAAAATTCAAAACTTGTATGACATTATTTCCACCATATAACACAAAAGGAGACGTTAAGCAAGATGTTTATGCTGCTCTTTTCGGTCACACTTTATTTTAAGGTTCAATTCTCACTATTAACAAACCATTAACTACGACTCAATGAACTCCTAATTTGCTGATTATTAATAGTTAGTAAGGTAGTTGTTAAGTTTAGGTATTGGGTAGGATTAGGGATGTAGAATATGGTCATGCAGAACATGTGCTTTATAAGTACTAATAAACAGCCAATATGTTAATAGGCATGCTAATAAGCAACTAGTTAATAGTGAGAATTGGTCCCTATACTGAAGTGTTACTCTTTTCTTTACAATGAAAGTGAATGGTGACCTGCAGTTGTAAAATTCAGAAAAGCACCATAACAGAGGTCCATATGGATTGAAGTTTCAATTGTTGTGTAGTCATAAATTACAGCAACTTTTGTTGTTTTACATTGGAGACCTTCCCTTTAGCTCTTAAATCTCATTTGAGCAGTTTGAATATTCACATTTTCACATTTGGCACATTGAAATTGGTCATGAGACATACAATCCAATGATATTTGGCATTATTGATGTCACACCTGGTGTGACACATCTTGGCACACCATAAGTGATGTAAATGAGATTTCGGACACAGCAGAGGAGAAAATAATGGTATTTTCAAGTCTTTTCTGAGACAAAGATATTGTGTGATTTCAGAAAACGTTATACTTTAGCACAAAAGTCATATGAGCTACTTTAATGTAGGGGTGGGCGATATGAGCTAAAATTCATATCACAATATTTTACACTGTCCAGGCGATATCGATATTATATTGCGATATGAGAAAAAAAAAATTACAGGCGAAATATTTTAACCTTATATAACTAGAAAAAGTGAGGGATTGAAAAGTCTTTTTTTTTTTTTTTTGTGCCATTGTTTTTCTCAAAAAGTGCAAATGTGAAACATGAGGTAGGCCTGTATGAATTCAATTAAATTAAATATTATGCGTTTCAGTTGGCCAGTGGTTCCCAAACTTTTTCTACCGGGCCCCCTTTTTTTTTGGAAAGTGTCTTATGCTCACCAAGGCTACATTTATTTATTAAAAATACAGTAAACACTGTAATAATGTGAAATATTGTCAATTTAAATGATCTATTTGAATGTTTTAACATCTAGGCTACTGTTTTCCTGTGACCAAAGCTGAATTTTCAGCATCATTACAACAGTCTTCAGTGTCACATGATCTTCAGAAATCATTCTAATATGCTTTGCTGCTCAGTAACCATTTCTGATTATTATCAATGTTGTAAACGTTTGTGCTGCTTAATATTTTTGAGGAAACAATTTTTTCACTATTCTCTTATGAATATTTGAAATTGTTCTTTGTGTCAGAGCGCTGGAGTTTGTCAGAAATAGAACGCAGCATCAGTTTACTCTCATGGATTTGTCGCGTCGCGCCTCACCCACAGCAGAGAACATCACTGGGTTCTATTTGCTTTTGCCAAATCGCACCGCTCGCGTCTGGTGTAGACACGTTGTTTTGGTATTTGTGAATCTTAAGTATAGTCATAATCTGCTTTACGTTTACCTGGCACTGGAAATCCTTTCACAAACTTGTAACTTTCATGCTTAGAGCAGAACCATGCATTGTTCATTTATATTTCTACATGGCCCCCTGCAATACAACTCTGATTCTTCAATCGTGCCTTCTAGTGGTCTGTTATTGATGCAACCACAACTGATAACAGAGCGCTCAAGCGGGTACAGCGAGTCATGTTGAGGTCATTAAAATGTCAAATTAATATTTTGCGCTCAATTATTTACTTATCAGACAAGTGGCCGCATGATAAGTGGGAAAATTACTCGGTGTAGTCTTTATCACCCTGCAGAGGTTTCTCCACGGTATAGCAAAATCCATATCATGGAACAACATAATACCGGTAGTCACTTTCATAGCGGTATAGCACCCACTACTACTTTAATGGTGCTTTTTGTATTATTATTTTTCTTGATAGACTATAAGTCTCTCTCTCTCTCTCTCTCTCTCTCTCTCTCTATACTGTATATATATGTAGTTGAGATATTTTTAATATAATAAAACAGACAATGTAGTGATGTACACCTATGATGCACATTAATAAAAACAATTTTTTACATTAATGAAGCAAGTTATAAAGTTGCTTGGCAACCGTATGCAGTTAACTTAAAGCCCCTTACCAACAAGTTCCTCATCTTGACTGGTTTGAGACACAAATCTACCACGTTATAATCTGATATATATATATGACCCTGGACCACAAAACCAGTCATAAGTAGCACGGGTATATTTGTAGCAATAGCCAGCAATACATTGTATGGGTCAAAATTATCGATTTTTCTTTTATGCCAAAAATCATTAGGATATTAAGTAAAGATCATGTTCCATGAAGATATTTTGTACATTTTCTACAGTAAATATATCAAAACTTAATTTTTGATTAGTAATATGCATTGCTAAGGACTAGGTT